CCAAAGCCGCCAACCAAAGCAAAACCCAAGGGGGTTGTGGATTTGAGCGAGTCAGACGACGCATCGGCTCCTCGGTCAAAAGCAAGACCCTCTGGGGCCCCGCGCGCCTCCTCCCGCGCAGTTCCTTCCGACAGCCCCGCGCCGCCCCCCAGGGCCGCAGCGGCGGCCCCCAGGGAACCAAAGGTGCAGCTTGTGCCGAGGGCGAAATGTGAGCCTTCCCAGCAGACGCAGGTTCCGAAGGTGCACCTGCTGCCGCGGCAGCCGGACCACCCGCCGCGGCATCTCCAGGACGAGCCACCAAAGAGAGACGCATGGAACCGCAGGCAAAAAAAGTGCCGCGGCAGCCTGACGAACTCCCCAACTACGAAGCCCTACTGCACACGGCGCCGAAGCCGAGCAGCTGCGCACCACCCGCGCCGAAACGGGGGGCAAACAGCGCCCTCGCATCCACGCGAGCGCATCCACGAGAGCGCATCCAGGCGGAGGTGGACGCGCGTTTGACCGACCAGAGAAGTCGAGTTTGGATCCAACTGGAGGACGGCAGGGGCGATTTCGGCGACTTGTTGGAGCACGGGGCTCCGCTGCTGCGCGCGCGCCCTGACTGGCGAGCACCGGATCGGAGTCCGCATCGGCGAGTCCCTGCGGATCCAGTGTTCACGCTTCTCACGGCCGTAGTGACGGCCACGGTCGCAGTGGAAGATCTCGAGAAACTGCTGGAGAGCCCAGCGAACATCCTCGTTCTCATCTGGGACCCGCTGCTCCTCGACCACCCGCAGAAGAGCGACGCGGAAGCGGTGGGAGTGTTGCGTGGGCACGCAGAACTGAAAACACAATTGGAGGGCGCAGCGGCGACCGCGGTAGCGACCAAGACAAGACGAGCCGACGACAATTACTGGGAACTAGTTGACCTCAAAGAGAGGGCAGGAATCGTGCTCTACCAACCCCGCGTCGTCGAGACGTCAAAAGTTACGCAGCAGGAAGACGCGTGCGCCACAGACGACGCGCACGCCATGACGATCTTCGACGTTTCCCTGCGCGAGTCCAGCCAGAACCTTGCCGCGCATTTCAGAATGGCCGTGCCCGCCCGCCACAGGTTCGCCAAAGGCCGTGGCGACGGCCCCCGCCGCGGCGTTCATTCCACGTGGTCCGAGAACTTCTGCGCGGACATCATCGAGGACCTGCTGCGCTGCAGTGCGCGCATCTTCGCTGGGCTCTTCGACTGCGACGAACGCACCTTGCATCGCATAGGCTGCAGTTGCGGCCTCACCGCGGGGGGCAAGCCCTTCCACGCCGTCTTCCGCAAACATTGGGGGCCTGGCGTGTTTGACTACACCATCCACCACAATTTTGCACTCGTGTTCGGCGCGCGCGACTCGCAGCGCCCCGTCTACGGAGAGGAAGAAGGGCAGGTGGCGGCGCTGGTGCCAGAGTGGTTCCAGCCTGTCGCCTCGGGGGCCCCGATCGAGTTCGGAAGCAGCTGGCTCGAGCGTTTCAGTTGCAGCTCCCTGCCGCAGTGGGGCGACGTGCCGATGGCGAGTACGCAGTGGCGTATTGTTTACACCGAGGCGCTCGAACAGCTCGAAGAGGGTGCGCATCCAGAGGGCCCAGTCGAGGCACGCCGCATAGCAAGGTTGACGGAAACGAGGCAGAACTTCTTCCAGAACGCGCACTGCGGCTTGCGCCCGCTTCCGAACCTGGGAACGGCGGCCTCCAAGCGGCTCAGGGGCGACACCTTTGTCGCGCACTGGCTCCACGGCATTCGCCAGAACATGATCTTCATAGGTCACGGCCGCCAGGGGCGTGGATCGAGGCAGACTGCGAGCGAGCAGTGGCACAACTGGAGGAGGGCGCATCAGAAGAAGAGCCGCAGTGGCGGCTGGCGCCAAGGGGCGGGCTCGCGCCAGAGCGCTTAGAATGGCGCGACCCGGCTGAAAAAAACAAAAGAAAGCATCTCCTGTCGTCGCCGTTGTCACTGTCACCACTGCCCGAAAGGTACCTGGTAGACTAATTAATGGTGGTGTATGATCATATGCTTCGGTAGTTACACAGTAGACGATCATATGTACATGGTTTAACGACTATTACATACTTATGTGTAGCCACACATATGTATATATACATATATATACACATATATATACACATACGCGGTCACATACAAATGAGCATGCCTGTCATGATTCTTGCCATCGTGTACACACATACTTACCACTATAATGAATACGTCGTTTCATGTGTGAAATTATGTGCACGCAGCCGCTGCCAGTTCAGCGGCGCCACCGCGCGCCCGCGCTCAGCGGCCAGGCGGCCGCCTCCTAGGGGGCCCTGCAGTGGCGGACCGCAGCCGAAGCTGCCTGCTTGCAAAGACACATGGGCAGCCTGCCCGACGACAGCATGTGCATCTACTGCGATCGCGAGCATGCTGTCCCATTCCACATTCCTGACGCGACGCTGGAATGTGGAATGGGCCCCGTTTGCGATACATGCTGCCGCGAGGCTTCGATCTACGGCATAGGACGCATCGACCGCAAGCGCCTGGCTCGTTTCCTGGCGGCCACGCGCGTCGCGGGCCGCGCCGGAGATTTTTACAACGTCTCCCTTGTGGACGGGGCCGGGCTGGGCGAGCTGCTCGCGGGGTGGTTGGTCGCCACCACAGCTACAACGAGGCGGTTGGTCGCCACCGCAGCTACATTCCAAAATGTCCGCAGTGGCGGGCGCCAAGTTCCGCTTCGCCCCGTCGCCGAGGGCGAAGTTACGCTTCGTCCCGACACCGAGGACGAAGCCGCAGCGGCGGCTCCAGGGTTTGACGACGCACGAGGCCGGGAGAGCTCCTATGTGGCAAGCGTAATCGAGGCCGCGGAATCGGAGCGGGAAGCCGCATCGCTGGGGCACGGGTTCGTCGATGATGGGCGTTGGACGCAGCGGTGGGAGGGCACGCGCGACCGTGGGGCTTTCCATGCCAGCCGAGATGGGCGAACGCCTTACTGGTCGCACGACGGCTTGCCGCCTGAGTCGCACGCGCGCGCCTTGCGCGAGATGCGCGTCTGTCGGTCGCACGGAGATGCTCCGTGCGACAGGTGTACTGGTGCATGCAAGGCAGGGCGCGCTCGATGCCGAGCAGCGACTGCAAGAAACTCAGACTGCGTGGCACAATGCGGTGGACATCGGGTTCATGCACAGTGCCTGCGCGAGGACGCCAGCGGCGCCGGGTCGCATGGCCGTAGCGGCGCGCCTGGCCGTAAGGGACGGCGCCATGATTGCCGCAGGGGTTGCGGGATGGGCGACGTATGAGTTTGATGCGTATGAGGCCGCAAGGAGCATCTTAGCCACCATGACGAACGATCCTCAGAATCCAGCCTCCCGCTACTGCGAAAGACAGCTGAGCTCATGGTCGAGGCGCCACCAGGCGCTCCGAGACGGCGAGGGCGTGGACGTCGACTCGCAGGGCATTCCAGGACCACGCCACGACGACGTGGACTTCGCCGTCAGCGACTGTTCGTCGGAGGAGCTAGAGGAGGAGTATTCCAGGAGATGCCTGCGCGCCTATCACCAGGACGCCTATACGATAGAACCACCGCCAGTGATACCTTGAGGACGCCGACCAGGGAGCAACAGGCCGCAGTGGCGGCCGCACTGGCACCGACGCGGCTGTAGGAGACCGACGACGCGAGCGATCGTCGGAGCAAGAAGGGATGGCCATCGCCATCGCCATCGCCATCCGTCACCGTCGTCCTCACCAAAATCCCCACCAACTCATGACCACCTTCACCAATCTATCAGCATCACCACATCCAGCACCATCAACATTACCATCGCCATCACCTCCGTCACCACCATCATCACCAGCACCATTAATTATCATCCTCCTCATCACCACCACCAGCAACAACAATCAACAGTATAACCATAATAAGTTTATTATTGCCACGACTTATCATCATAATCAAGCATCATCACCATCATCATATTTATTCAAACATCATCATCACGATCACCATCACCACCGCCTGCATCAACACCGCCATCACCATCGCCACCGCCATCACCACCACCGCTACCGCCACCATCGCCATCACCATCCCAAGCCTGCTCTTCAGGCCCCAACATTTTGCCGCGGGGCCGCTGACGGCCCCGCGGCGGCCATGCAGCCGACGCCGCCCCGCCGCCCGATGGGTGAGGCAATTATACAGTATGAGCACGCGCGCGCGGGGGCGGGCGCGGGCCTTTTTCCTTTCCGAACCACGAATAGCTGCAGAGAGCCAAATTTGTGTCTGCGTATGTGGTTATATGTGCATATTCCTCCTCCTTCTTCTTAGTACTAGTATGATCAGTGCTGTTGGTATTAGTAATAGCAACCCCATTGCCAGTACCACTGTCATTTTTATTATGATTATTCGTATTCGTGGTATCAGTACCTTTCGTTTTCGCATTTTTGTATTATGTGTGGAGTGCTAGTATGAGCGTTCGTACTAGGATTTTAATTCTCATTATAGCATTAAAGTGAGCATTCGAATCAGTAGAATTAGTCGCACGTGTTTTCCGAACTACGTTTGTTATTAGTAGGATGTTGGCTCACCGTTTTCTTATGACAAGTCAGTATTATGTTTCTTATGTAAGGTATTCACTTATATATATATATGTATATATATATATATATGCATATAGCTTATGCGCTTCGACACTACTATTACCTTTGTGAATGTTCGAAGTGTTACTCAATTCTTAATGCTTTGAATCTACGGTTCTACGTATTACCAATACGTGTCTCGGTGTTCCTCCTCCTCCTTTTCCTCGTCCTCCTCCTCCTCCTCCTCCTCCTCTTCCTCCTCCTCGTCCTCATCCTTATCCCCCTTCCCCTCTCTTTCCTCCCCCCCCTCCTCGCCCCCCCCTTCCCTCGGCCAGCGCCGCAGCCGCCTGGGCTCGCAAACGCAGCGTTTCACTGCGCGCCCGGAGGGCCCGAGCGCGCCAGCCGCGCCCGGCGCGGGGCTGGCGCGCCAGCCATGAGCGATGAAACAAAGGGTGGCGGGGCAGCTGAGGTTGCGGCCGCAGTGGCGGCCGAAATGAAAGAGATGCATCTGAGCAACGAGCTCAGGGCCCGTTGCAACACTGGCGCGAAGCAAAGGGTTCCAGTGCGATTGCTGGGGCCACACCCCGCTAACAGGGTTGGTGTGCCCCCAAATTGTGGCAGAGAGCGTTCGCTGGCGCGCGAGATCATCTGCGTCGGGCGCCACCAGGCGGAAGCCGACTTTGAGGGGGTGTGCGCCAGGGACTTTCCCGGGGAGAAGCAAAAGGGCATGGTGGGGTACACCTCGCCCACGCAGAACTGCAAGGACAAGGCCAGAGGGTGCCTTAAGGAAATGTTCTGCAGCAGTGGCGCCGAAGTTCTCTACGGCACGCTCTCGCACTCGCATTTGGCAATCATTCTGCGGGCCATCGACGCGGGGGCAAAGTGGGGGATCCCTGCAGACGACCTGACCCCTGCGCAGGTTGCAATGCTGCAGCCCATGTGCGAGGTCGGCACAGGCTTGCTGATGATGTCCGCAGTGGCGGACAATGACCCTGTGGCGCAGAAACTCGTGAAGGGGGGGGGGGCTCTACGAGGTGCTGGGCCCCGATGTCATGCTTGGCGAACAGAACTGCTCCATCATAGCCCAGGCCATTAATCGGCCGCAGGCGTTCTCCATGCGGACGTCGGAGGCGGGGGCGATGAAAGCACTCTCCTCAGAGATCAAGAACGCAGAGGCGGACGGCAGCGACACAATCACATACGAGAGCGCGATGCAGGCGGTAGGTGCCCGACTGGGGAGCTTCCCCTCCGACCCCTCCTTCTGCGACATCTTCAACATCATCCTGAACCTGGGCGCCGATGGAGGCCCTCGCGTGCGGGAACTCATCGACTTCGTCGAGGCGCGCGTCAATTCTGCCACGAGAATGTTGCGCCTACCTGCGTTCGGCCTCGTGGGGGAGGTGAGCGCGCAGTTCCCCCGCGTGGAGGTGGCCATCATCATGCGGGCCTACAGGTTGCCGCCCAGGAAGGCCCCCAAGCAGGCGGGGGCGCCGGGCCGGTGCATCGAGCCCGAACCTGCGTGGAAGCAGCGAACCCTGGAGCCGCAGTTGCGGCGCATGGAGGATGTTCCCCACGCGCGCCACGTGGCCCTGAGAACCGACATCGCGAAACACCTGGACAACAACGTCTCGGCGGTGGTTCAGTTTCTGACCAACATCAACATCCAGCGCGCCAGCCCTCGACGGCGAAGGCCCGCGAGGCGCTCTTGCAGGGGTGCAAGGCGGCGCGCGCGAACGCCCTGCCGACAGAAAAAGCTGCCGGGCCCATGGCAACCTTCCAGGCGCAGGAGGACTAGATTTGGTTCGGCTTTGCAACGCTGCCGCCCGAAGAAAAGACAACCGCGACGTCGGCTCAGGAAAAGGGGGGCGGGCCCGCCGTGCAGCCCGCGGTGATCGCGTTCATGGCGATCGCGTTCAACGCGATCACTGGGCGCCCCGAGAACGAACAGGCCACCGTTATGAAGGGAGAGAGGCCAGCAATGCGGTTGCCACTGCCAGTCACGGAGTGGTTGGGCCCGGCAGCCGCCAGGGACATGGGCAAGAAGGAGGCCTACATGGGAGCGGTGCTGCAGGCGCTACGGGGGAGGCACTTGGCGCTCTGTTCGCGCGTTGAACAGGGCACAGAATCGAACCTACCTGTGGCCTTGCCCCGCCACGCAACGAGCAACAAAGTGAAAGTGTGCACCAAAGCCGCAGTGGCGGCTGGCAAACTCGCGCTGTGGCCATGCGCGCCGAAGCAGAGCAAAGCGTGGGATGCGAGCAGCCGCAAAGACAAGGTTCACGTGGAAGTGTGGACCAAGAACCCAGAAGAGCCTGTGGAGACTTCGTTCTACATACATCCAGAGTTTGCCGCGCCCGAAAGCAAGCCGCCCTACGATGCGGAGGAGACGGGCCCCGCTCAGCGAGAGTGGAAGTGGGCGGGCAATGAGTCCACGCACCCCTTCTGGAGCGTGGCGAAGCTCACGGCCGAAGAGCTTGGAACGCGAAACGTCACTGAAGCAGAGGCGGGGCGGGGCGAGCGCGTTTTAACGTGGAGCTCGCGCCGAAGGAAGTGAACGTAGTCATCTGCGGTCGGGACATCTGCGTCCGAATCCCAGCGGCGACCAACACGGTGGATCTCCAGGCGGGCGAGGAACTGATCATGGAAGACACGCGCGTGAAGAGGAAGAAGGAAGCGGCTCCGACCGACCGGAGGAAAGCCGCGAAGAAGGCCAGAGCGAAGCCGAAGAGCCAGCCGCAGCAGCACAAAACCGTTCTCGACGAAAATGGCCGCCAGGACATCTGAAGCGGAGGACGCAGTGGCGCCCATGCTCCGATGGGCGCAGTGGCGCCCACGCAGTGGCGCCCATGCCCCGACGCGGACGGGGGCGCAGGCGCGGCGGCGAGAACAAAGAGGGTCACAGGCGTGCTGAAGTGGGGGGGGCGCCCTCTCCCCCCTCTCCCCCCCCTCCTCCATCCTCCCCCCAGCCCCCCTCGGGAGACCCCCCGGCCCCGGATCTTGCAACCCCTCTTGCAGGATCCGGGGCCGGGGGGGCCGCCCGAGGGGGCTTGGCGCCGAGGGGGGCCGCCAGAGGCTTCGTGGGCGCTGGAGGGAGGACGCGGAGGAAGAGGAGGAGGAGGAGGGGCGGAGGAGGGAGGAGAGAGGAAAGAGGAGAGAAGACAGAGGAGGAAGGAGGAGGAGAAGGAGGAGGAAGAGGAGGGCGGCTTGGAGGAGGAGGAGGAGGGGGGATGTCGGACGAGCAGCGCGGGGACATGGTCGGATGGGGGGGGTGACGGGCAGCGCCGTGTGGCAGGATGGGGAGCTGGAGAGCAATGCTGCGCGGTGCAACCGCAGCGTATAGGCTCCAGCGCAGACGCTCGTTCCTTTCGGCTCCGCTTGCGCGGCGGGCGACGCAGTGGCGTTCATGGTGAAGGCGAAGACCCATGTTGCCCCCCGGTGGGAACCCGTGCAGCTGGGCGACCGATTCTCTGTCTGGGGCGGTCGGTTGACAGAGCCGCGCGCGCTCTTGGAGACCAAGGAGATCTCTACCATCGCAGGGCGCCTGAAGTTCGTCCACGTCTCTCTGGACCTGCCGCGGGTAGCCCATGCGCTCGGCTACGCGCTCAGGAGTGGCAGCGGGGGTTCGAGGGAGGTGCGCGTGCAGGGGCGCGCATGGAGGGAGGTCGCGGGCGCTTTCATGGCCCGAGCGCGAGCCGAGGACGCCGCAGTGGCGGCTGGCGAGGACGACGAGGGAGAGGGCGCCATGGGCGCCCTGCTCGACCTGCCCGATGCCGCAGCGGAAGATGCCGCAGCGGCAGCGAAAAAGAAACAAACGGTGCTGGGGCGCATCGTTGCTTGGTCCGTGCGTGAGAAGTGCCCGCTCGAGTTCCCCGATGCGACGGACGAGAGGGAGGTGTGCTTGATCCCGTTCAAGAAGAACGAGTACTGGATCCGCGAGACGGACGTGCCCTGGCTCTTCGAGCGGCCCAGGTCCGAGTGCGATCTGGTGGGGGGGCCGCTGGTTCAGAACCCAGGCGGAGACTGCGCCGCAGCGGCGGCTGCCGCTATCGGGGCGGACTCGCACGATCGCCTGCCCTCTGGAGAGAGCGCGGGCTCACAGACACCGACAAAAGCCGCCAGTCCACCAGCTCCTGTGGACCAGGCGGTCAGTGCCCAGGACACCGTGCACGCCGGCTACACGTGCCGATGGCCGTTCCCCACCAGGGAATGCAAGGGCGCGTGGGTGGGAACAGTCACGCGCGCAGGGGACTTGCACGGGGAGGTTGTCGTGCGCCAGCTGGCCATTTTCACCCGCGCGAGTGGCGACGAGCCCCCCCTGCGCGTGGCACAGGGCCAGTCATCTGCAGATGAAGGAGGCCTGCAGGCTCTACCTGGAAGCGCACATGCCGCGTTGACGCAGCAACTTCCTGCGGCCTACAGCCGCAGTGGCAGCTCCGCTGGGTACCTCGCCATTGTCCTGCGGTGGGGGCCGCGCTTGCCTAGTGGCTTGCATGGGCGAGTCGCGGCGGTGCAGGCGCCAATGCCAGCGATACTCATTCACAAAGTGATGCCTTCACGGTCCGTGAGGAAAACGCAGCCCCTGCGCCCGCCCCCCCCCCCCCCCCCCTTGCTTCTCGCTTGCTTCCCCGCCTGCCCCTCTGCAGCCAGTGGTCTCGCCCCCATCCCCCCCCCCCCCCCCATTGCCCTCCGCAGCGCGCCTCTTCCCGCTTGTTCGTCCGCGACGCCCTTTTCGCATCGAAGGGCTGCTCCAAGGGGCGGCGGCGCGCGCGCGCGCAGGGGGGCCTGCGCGAACGATGCCTGCCACACGCCCGCCAGATGGCACATGCGGGTGCATGTGCCGCAGCCGAGGTGCACGATGGCATGGCGTGGACGTGTTCACGGGCGAGAAGTTCGAGTGCGAGTGGGTGAAGAACCCCGAGACCCAATCCTTTCCGCGTATGACGCAGTACGGCAAGACAGGGATGGTAAACATCTGTCGCCGCAGTGGCGGCGCCGAGGTGCTTGTGGGTTTGTTGAAGGTGCGCTGCTGCTTGCACGAACCGCGCCAGGCAGACTGGCCAGCGACCCAGTTTGGCATCCCCCCCCCCCGCCACGCATCTCTGACCGACAGATTGGCGCCCACCAGGGGCAGCTGCCCCTGAGCAAGAGGCGCAGCCAGCGCCAGCTGCCGCTGCGCTTGGGCCAGCGGAGCCAGCAGCGCCGCAGCCGGGGACGGCGGCTCCGCCTCTGCCACCCCCAAATGAAGCACCCCCGCCAGAGCTACAGCCAGGGGGGGCACCCCCGCCACACGCGGACGAGGTAGCGCCAGCGCCAGCGCCGCCAACGCCAGATGAGCCAGCGCCAGGGCCGCCAACGCCAGAGCCAAACCCTGAGGAGCCAAAGCCTGGGTCGGCAGAGCCAGGGGTGGTAGAGGGGGCAGAGGAGGCAGGGGAGGCAGAGGAGGTAGAGGAGGCAGAGGAGGCAGAGGAGGCAGAGGAGGCAGAGCCTCAGGAGGCCAAAGAGGCAGAGGAAGCGGAGTCTGAGGGAATCCGCAGCCCCCCGCCCACGCCGCCAGCCGCAGGGGCTCCTGCTGTACAGTTGGCTGCAGTGGCGAGCTCCCTGCACCCGCCGCCCGCGGAGCCCGCGCCCGCCCCTCTGCGACGTCGAGCTGCGCCCCCCCCCCCCCCTCCCTCCCCTTGGCCCAGGGACAGGGTGGGCTCTTCGAATGCGGCTTTCAGTGCAACGACCCCCCCATCAGCTGGCTTCGGCCGTGGGTCGAGCGAGCCCGCAGCCGCGGAGGCGGTGGGCGCGGGCGCGGAGGTGGCGGGATCGGGCCCCAACCGAGCGCCGACAGGGCGCCGACAGGGCACCGCTCAGGGCCGCAGTGGCGGCCTCGACAGGGCACCGCTCAGTGCCGCATTGGCTGCCGCTGTGCCGCTCAAAGTGCTGGGTCTGGCTCGGGAGATCCTCGCGAGCGGCAAGTACGTCGGGCACTCCGCCTTCGTGCTTTTTGGCCTGCGCTACAACGTTCGCCCACTGATGTGGGAGGGGGGGAACCTCACAGACCTCCTTGCCGTATACGCTCCCTGGGCGCTGGAGACCTGTTTCACGCCCTGCGCCGTGGAGGGCGTGGCGCGCGTCCTCCGACCAGGCGCGACGTGGTCCGCAGTTGCGGACCTTCTGCCCGCGGGCGATCTGAAGGATGCCATGGGCCAGCCAGTCAGTTGCCTCCAGAACGTCAACCACTGGGCGGCGGCCGTGATCAGTGGCTGGGGTCACGAGGGCGCAGAGGCGGCCGACGAGATGAACAAGTTATACCAACATCGGGCGCGTTTCGTACTCGGGGCTCTCTGCGACGGCGACTGCGGCATTGACGTCACGACGCAGATGCTGGAGCTGCCCCAGAACGCGGAAAACCGTGCCCGCATCCGCAGGGAGCTCTACGAGTACGTCATGAGTCGGTACAAGGAGCCCTGGCTGCACGACATGTTGGTGCTCACCCAGGAGCTCACAGCGGAGCAGGTGCAGAAGTTCAGAAGTTTCGGGAGTCCGAAGGCGACCGCGACGACCTTTGCTTCGAAGGTCTCGGTGGCGGAGGGCCACGGGCAGGAGGGGCAGGCGGGGCAGGAGAGGAGGGCGTTTCTCAGACCGCAGCGGCGGTCACCCACCCGCCTGCGCACGAGAAGGTCCCTGGCATTTTGGAGGCGCTGCAGTGGTCCTGCGGGGTCAGCGACGTCGGCGTGGCGATGTCCATCGCTGACGGACTGCCCATCCCCGCGCAGGAAGAACAGGTGGCCGCGCACAAGGAGAGCCAACTGGCCCCCAAGAAGCCCGAGCACGGCGCACGAGTGAGGCGGCGCATCAACCCGCACGTGATCCGGGACCGCGACATAGTGTGCAAGGCGCACACGCAGCACCTGCAGGAGAGCGGGTGGGGCGGCAAGGGCAAATCTTTATATCGCTCCAGGAAGACGTTCTTGGCCAAATTTGAATGGCCCAAGGGGTGGAAGTATACCAAACAGTCGTGCACCTTGTCTAACTGGTATACAAATTGGAAGAAGCGATCTGACGGCGGAGATGAAGGTGTCAAGGGTAAATGAAGACTCCAGGAGACGCCGCAGTGGCGGCGGAGGGGCGCCCCAGAAGTGCCCCTGGTTGTCGAGCGCCCTCTGCGAGTGGTGGCCCCACATGCGCTACGCCGTGGACTGGAAGCGCGCCACTGCTGGAGTTCCACAGGAGCAGCGACAGAGGAATATCGCCAGGTGCACGCAGGCCCCCTCGTCTCTTCGTCCACCCGCCCTCCTCCTTCTCCGTAGCCATTTTGGCTCAAGTTTGGCTCAAGGGGTTTGAGGTAGGTTTGGTTCAAGCCACACCGGTGCCGTATACTCCCGGCCTGTCGTACTTGGGTTGGTCAGCGTGTGACTCAAGTTCGGTGCCTCCCCTGTGGGTTGCTTAGTGACTCATATTTGGGTTTTGACAGTTCTTGTAAGTGGTCCCTCTGGATGGTGCGGGCCCGACTGGAGCATCAATTCGATCATGCATACTCGTCTTATTGTTTCTCAGCTCCTCCCTCCTCCTCCTGGAAAAGGAAGATGCGTAGATTTCGATTGGTTGCGTTTCGACGAGCTCAATTTGACTTCGGCACAGTGGGTTTTCAGTCAGGTGACAAACCATTTGACATCTATGATTCTTTGAACAAATATAACATTCTCTTGGGTTCTCCTTCAGTAGATGTGGGTTCTCCTTACGTGGGTTATCCTTCAGCAGATGTGGGTTACCCTTCAGCTTATGTGGGACTTGCTTCA